CTGAGGGCGGAAGCGCCGCGCGACCGCGGCTTCGCGCCCTTCCCGTCCCTTCCCGCGCCGCTCTCGCGAGATCCGCCGCTTCCGGCGCGAGCGCGGCCTTTCCGAGCAGCCCCGGCCAAGATGGTGGGTGCGGGGGGAATCCCGGCGGCGCCATCGGGCTCCATCCGCCGCCATCCGGGCTTCACCCGCCGCGGCGGCGCCGCCCGGGGCTCGGGGCTTCCCTGGGGGGAGGGGGATGAGCCTTCTCGGGGTGCTGCCGGGCCCAGCGCGGTGGGAGCGGGGCTGAGGGRAGGGAGCGGCCTGGGTGCCCGCAGAGCTCGGTGGGTTCGCGGCCCTCTCGTGTGTGGGGCGGGGAACGCGGGACTGGGAGGCCTTGAATCCCCTGGCACCCCTCCCGGTTAGCCGGGACCCTCTGCCCTGAMCCCCCTCTCCCGCTGCAGGCGGAAGTGGAGCAGAAGAAGAAGCGAACCTTCCGAAAATTCACCTACCGCGGGGTGGACCTGGACCAGCTCCTCGACATGTCCTAGTAAGGGCTGGCACCGGGGAGCCCCGGCGCYGCGGTTTGGGGTCGGGAGGCTGTTCCTGCACCATTTTGCGCGGATTGTGTTAAAATACCGGCAGTAACCGGGGCTTTGGGTGTTCAGCAGCAGCTTTTTGGATTTTTTAAAGTCGCTCCACGCGTGACACCGTCGGTGTGGGATCCCGGGGCTCAGTTTGGGTAATGCTGTGGGTGTGGGTCCCTGAAGCTCCTCGAGGCCGTGCTCCCGGTTCAATTCGGGTAGCACTGTTATTTTGGGGTCCATGTGAGTCTCCCCAGGGGTGCACCCCAGGTTTGATCCATGACATCTCCTTAGGCTGTACCCTTGGCTTAGCTTGACATTTGGGGGTCTCGCTGTGTCTGAGTCTAGGAACACTGGCTGTGCCATCCCTGGGGGTCTCTTCAGACTCAGTTTGGGTTCCTTGGGGGTGTCCCTGGACCGTACCCCATACTCACTTTGGGGTCCTTGAAGGTGTCCCCAGGTTCAGTCAGGGTGGTGCTGTGGCTGTGGGGCCCTGGGGGTCTCTTTAAAACTCTACCCCAGGTTTTTTTCCAGGTTGCTGTGGCTGTGGGGCTTCCTCAGGCCGTATCCCAAACAGGTTCAGTTTGGGATGTCTGGGGTCTTCATGGGGCTCAGTTTGGGGTCCCTTGGGGAAGTCTCTGGGAGTGTTCTCAGGCTCAGTTTAGGGTGCCTGGGGTGTCTCCTGGGCTTGATTCCAGGTAACACCTTGGCTGTGGGGCCCTGAGGGTCTTCCCAGGCTCAGTTTGGGGTCCCTGGGAATGTCCCCAGGCCAAAACCCAGGCTCGATTTGGGGTCCCTGTGAGAGGGTCTTCAAAGATGTCCCTGTGCTGTTCCCCAGGCTCAGTTTGGGGTTTCTGTGAGGGTCTTTGAAGATGTCCCTGGGCTGTTCCCCAGGCTCAGTTTGGGATCCCTGTGAGGGGTTTTGAAGATGTCCCTGGGCTGTTCCCCAGGCTCAATTTGGGGTCCCTATGAGAGGGTCTTTAAAGATGTCCCTGTGCTGTTCCCCAGGCTCAGTTTGAGGTCCCTGTGAGGGTTTCCAAAGATGTCCCTGGGCTGTTCCCCAGGCTCAGTTTGGGATCCCTGTGAGGGTTTCCTAAGATGTCCCTGGGCTGTTCCCCAGGCTCAGTTTGGGATCCCTGGCTGTCTCCTGGGGCTGAACCCCAGGCTCTCTCTGGGTAACTATGGCTGTGGGGTCTCAGGGGTGTTGCCCAGGTTGGATTTGGGGTCCCTGGGTGTCCCCTGACCCGTCCCTGTCCCCGTTTGGCAGCGAGCAGCTGATGCAGTTGTACAGCGCGCGGCAGCGGCGGCGCCTGAACCGGGGCCTGCGCCGCAAGCAGCACTCGCTGCTCAAACGCCTGCGCAAGGCCAAGAAGGAGGCACCGCCCATGGAGAAGCCCGAGGTGGTGAAAACCCACCTGAGGGACATGATCATCCTGCCCGAGATGGTGGGCAGCATGGTGGGCGTCTACAACGGCAAGACCTTCAACCAGGTGGAGATCAAGGTGAGCTGGGGCTGGCAGGCGGCTCCTGTGCTGAGCTCGGGGTCTGGAGTGTTCACTTCTGACCCTCTTTGTAAATCTTACTCGTGCTCTGTGTCTGGAGGGCTCCAGGCTCTTCTTTGGGGTGGGGTTGGCACAGAGGGACACCTGGAGGTGTCACCCTGGGG